GCATGGAAAACAGTACTCTCTTCGGCAAACGATGGTTTGGCATACGCAACACATGTCCCAACCAACGTAGCTTCTGGTGCTGGACACATTCTTCAATGGAAGTACCCGTTACACAACCGAAAACACGCTTTCTAACTGCCTCGTTACGGATTCGCCGACACAAACCCATACGAGATATGGCTCTGAGACAACGATTATCGAACATCTGAAGACGTCTCAGGCCCGCTGCTCGAATGGGCCAAGTCTCACAGCCATAAAACAAAACAGCCCATACTGTAGCTTGATACACACGTCCCTTCAGATTCAGGGATAAACCATTCTGACGCCATAGGTGTCTCCAGTTAGCAAACGCGGCCCGAGGCTTGCAGATTCATGCATTCACCTTGTCTGCCACACTCCTCAAAGGAGGCAGACATCGGCAAAACTGTGTAACGGTCTAGAACGGACAAGCTCGGTACAAAGATGGAGAGAGAGAGTGGGGGCGTGTGCGTGCATGTGGCAACCAAGGTCATCTGATTTTTTTCAGAGCCCAGTGTTCTCGCCTAAAACGTTGTGACACATCGGTCCATCACCACAGCGTTTTTCCGTTTCTCGAATCATCTTGCCCTTGCTGAAACTAACAGTTCCTGGCACACCCGCATTCTCATTTGGTCTGAAAACCGCCAAAATTGTGGCGACGACGCAACCAGATAATTCGGTAAGATCAGACGGGCGACGTACTTCAGACGGAACATGTATCTTGCGAAAACCTTCGCAAGTCACATTGCGGAAAGGATTACTCTAGAGAGAGTACTCTCTCTCTGATAAACGGTCATACTTCATAGAAGGATATGAAACTGACCAATTGGGAAATGCATAAGCGATCCGCGAAATTTACGGTTGTCTCATGCAGGAAACTGCAGCGGATGGTCTTGTGAAGGTCACTCCGGCAGGCTGTAGCACCTGTCCGTGGGCGGTAACATGGTTGGAGATGAAATAAGGAGTTGATCGATGAAATCCTTCAAAAAATGTGGGAAGGTCGCCTTACTGTTTCTATCCTGAACACGACTACGTGGATTGAAACGGCTCCTTGATGTCTTGATCCCAATCAGATGTCCACCGCTTACACACTGTTAATAGGAGATCGAAGGAATTAAACCGAATCCCTCGTTTGTGATCTCTTTTAACTGAGTGTGCTGCACTAGGCCGCCTCATGTTCCAGTTGATCCGATATCGTATGCATTGCCCAAACGTAACACACTACTCATAAGGTTGCTGAAAACGTTTTGACCGCCCACGACCGGTTTCACCCTTCTGGCGATTCATCAGATAGGCGCAGTCCCTGAGTTTCTCTCAAGCTTATGTTCTATTTGAAACAAAACTTGTGTGAAAATGAAAGTAGTTCTTGAAATCTTTTCAACTTGGGTTCCTCAGCGGCAAAAGCCGTTCATTTGTAAACCTTCTCCACTGGGTTCAGATCCGATGACTGCGGATGCCATCCTTTAGAACCAATAAGACCCCTTGAGCCCTGTTGGGAGTAACGGGTTGTGTGCCACAGAATCGATCATCCGAAAATCGCCCTGAAAATGTTTATCACTAGCAAATAGTTTTCTCAGGTGTGAGGCGTCCCACAATTACACTAGACTTTTTGCGACACAAGCCTTACTAAACACTCAAGAAGCTGTATGCTTAGGAGACTTGCCGTACTACGACAGAAGGGTCACCTTGGGTTGGAAGGTCACTAGCACACTGTCCCCAAAATTGGGACAAACCAATGCATTCCTAGCTGACGCCAGGTCGTCCGCAATGGGATGATGTGCAGTTCGGTATCTGATAAAGAATTAGAGTCGCCAGAGCGGCAAATGGGGCGATGGAAGATTGTACCACGCATGCCCAACTACCATTTCCACAGAATGCGTTGTTTGTCATTCCAAATCCCTGCTGGTGGACATTTCGCCGGGAACAGGCGACGGCGAGGCAACACAAGATGAAAGCGAGTGCAGTTAAACGGGATGTTGCAGAATTTGAAGCTCTCACGTGACCTCCTAGGACAGGTCATTTGCGGGCAATATATCACTATCAAGCTTCTTGAATGTTCGTCGTGCGCTTGGCTTAGGGTGAACAGAGTTTGCAATAGATATCAGACCGATCCGGTTGATGGTGTCTTACTCCGGCTTGATGCTCATAAGAGTTGATTTCAACAGCTTCTCACTCCTTATTAAGGCGTTTCAGTGATTGTTGTTAGGCCTTTGCGATTTATAAAATAAAAAGAAAACCGTTCAGCTGTAACACCCTTCCCGTGTTTAGCTGCCATGCCACCCGAAGGTTGCACGAGGGTTGGGATACTGCCACGTTGCCCAAGCCTAGACAGGGGAAGTCGAGTGGCGGAGGTCGGGTTCGAACCACAGACCTTTTGGTCAGCAAATTCGCGCACTAACCACTTCGGTCATCTCGCCCCACTCAGTGAAACCCGTACCTGCTGGATAAATATTTCACGACACCCACTTTCGACTGTTGCTCTGTTTGTCGAGATTGACAGTTGGACTGCAAACGTTTCACCGCCAATCGAGGGGACATCATTGAATGACTCAACCAAACAACGTACCGGAGCTGTCCACAGTTCGCAAAATCGCCAATAGCCAACTATAACAGGACAGCTAATGTCCGAAGTGAGAAGTCTGGGGAGTATTAGGAAGCAGGAACTGGGTCTACGTGATATCCATAATAGTTTAATGCGACAGGGGAACTTAAAAAGCCCGTGTCCAAGACCAACCCAGTTTTAAGAAAGATGGCCTCTACTACAATTTCCCCTTCGCCTTCCTCTGCCTCTCGAGGGACAAAATTATGAAATCAAGAGAGAGGTGAGGACGCCTGCTCCTAAGATTGAAAACCCTACAGGAATTTGGTGGGGGGTTCCTGGAGGAAAGGAAGGTGGCGGGAGTAAATGCATTATGCTCAATAATAGGAAACACTGTAAATCGTATGGACCTTCCTTTGAGAAATCAACGTTCGATGGGACTGTCATGCCACCCGATGGAAGCACAACTGCCCCAAACTTAGACAGGGACAGTCGAGATGCCCGAGGTTTGGGTTCGAACTACGAACTTTTAGATCGGTAAGTTCGAGCTCTAATCACTGAGCTATCTTGGCCGCAAGTTAACGTCATCTCGCGAACTGACTCTGTGCGCATGAAAGATGCACGGACTATGTCCCATTTAAGTGCACGTTAGTTACCTGTAGCTGGATAATTGAGTGAGCAACTACTATCTGGTAATCTTTGTAATGTACCACTCATAAGGTTGCTGAAAATCCGTCGACAGTTTCGCCCTTTTCGGGGCTCATCAGTTAGGCGCAGTCCCCGAGTTTTCGTCAATTTAATGTTCTACTTGAAACCGAATTGCACGAAACTAGCGAATATACATTCAACTGCAAACTAATTCGGCTTTTCGAGAGACTCACCTGGAACCCAGCTGAATCTCGCGTTTGTAGGCAACCGAATATACTGCACCAGGCAGCCTCATGTTTCGGTCGCTAGGATATTCGAGATGTCGCGATATATGTATATCTTTGTAATGTACTATTCAACACAGATTTTTTGTTGCTTACGCCTGCAAACACTCACTCAGACAAGCAAGATAGAAACTGACAACAGGGACGTCACTGACATCCATCATGCAGCATCCGTAACCATTTTGTCGTAGATCCCATGAAAAATGAGGAACGGTCTCTTGTAGAACGGCCTGAAGAGTTGAGTGGTTACAAGAATTGCAATATATATATATGNTCAGCTGCGTTCCAGGTGAGTCTCTCGAAAAAAAACAAATTAGTTTGCAAATGAGTGTATATTCCCTACTATCCGTTTCACGTTCAATCATTCACCAATATTCGGGGGTCTAAATAGCCGTACACTGTTCGTCAGTTTTTCTTTTCATCAAACGTCAACACAGTAATCTACAAACAAAGAGATCACAAAACTGGCCTCAGGTGACCTCGTGCCGATGTTAGGCAGTTGCGAACAAACGAGCATGGAGAGGACTGGGAATCTGACAATCCAACCAACGGTAACAAGCCATCGAAACAGGGCATAAAAAAGCTTCGAAATGTCTGATCCAGTTCCGGTTGGACAGGCGAGCGAAGCGGTTGTTTTCTTAGACAGGAGGTCTGATGAACCAGCTGCTCACCAAGACATTGGCACAAAAGAGGGATTCAGTGGAGTCTTTCGTTAATATCAATCTATTTTGCAAATCAGTGTACGTCGTCCAAAGCGTACAGTTTGGTATTCAAGTAGAACATGAGGTTGGTGAAAATTAAGGTACAATGTCTGATGAACCCAAGGGTGAAACTGGTGGTGAGCTGCCGAGGTGTTCTCAGCAACCTCATGCACTATGCCAAGAAGGTATGGAGCAGACTTGGGCTGCATGTAGGGTCGGAGTAAAAGCCAAAAAACTGACCAACAACAGCGGATGTGGAGTGGGAAGCTCAGTGGATTTTATGCTGTCCATACTAACTGAATACGGGATTCACTAAGGACGGATAAGTCGCGAGGACCGCTGAGGTGTAGAGTACCGTGCATTACGTTAAGTACGGATGCTGTACAGTGAATTGAAATGCGCTTGTAAATGAAACGGGAGAAAAGCGTTTCATCCAGTATGATGTCTCATGGATTCCGTCGATGCTTAGAGCCGTACCTAAAAAAAACTGAAGATCTCACTTTTCATAGCTTATATGTTTCCGATCAAAGTCTTACCGGGGAAGAGGTGGCCAACCCTTGACTTGGCAGAGGAGTATGGAGGAGATCACGAAACGCTTGGGTGCTGTCGGTGCTACTCGCCTTCCAGGATGGGGACCGCGTGATCCTCACTGTGCGTGGTTGGAGACACTACATGATATGGCTGCCAACCGATGTCAGTGGCGTTCTTGTTGTCAGTTTGTATCCAGATCGCCTGAGTGAGTATCCGGAGGTATAGGCACCTTGGAATGATTGTGGTAAGCTAGCACTAAGTCACTTCCACGTCCACCCTCACTCTTTTCTTCACAGTAAGGCTTTCAAATAAATCATGGTTGTACGGCAGTGAAGCATCGGTGTTGAGCACTGACGCCATGCTGTCAATGATGATGATGATGTTGTTACCGGGGGAGGAGAACGGTAAGACTGTTTATGACATCGCTGGAGCTTGGCTTGAAAAAACAGCAAGAATAGGAACTCACGTCCACGAAAAATCGATCGATTCAACTGAGCCATCGTCTCCGGTTTCTATCGTGGAAATACACTGAAAAGCATGCAAAATGACATTCGTGGTCGTTTAGAAGAGGATCAAGACATCCAGCTAATGTAGAAGAGAACTTAGTGTACTGAAATGAGGAGTTCCTAGCGCCACCTCCCAGGTCTTAGGATGAGATAGATCTATGAAGGTCAGTGAGAGCTCACAGTTCAGTTACAACTAACTCTCAAGCGAGACCACATCAAGGAGGATTCGAACCGGAACTCTGCATCTCGACTTCCACTGTCTAGGTTTGGGCAACCTGGCAGTATCCCAGCCCCCGTGCCAACTTCCCATGGGTGGTTGACAGTAAGGTATCAAAAGTATGCTACTGCTGAACGATAATTATTACTTAACCCTGGAAAACGGGCACCAAAGCACATTTTCGAGGAAGTTGGTGAAACGTAAGACAAACCTCTTTGTGAGCCGAATGACCTAAGCACTGAAGTGAACTTCTCAAAGTAAAATGGACGTACACTGGGTTGTGACTGACGTACATGATATAAAACCTGTCGTAGGAGAGTATCAATTTTTCACTGAGGAAGCTAAAAGTGAAACTCGGAAACCAAAATATTTCCAGGTGTTGCTGAGTTGGTGAGAGTTAACAAAGGAATTAAATATTAACGTATAACCTCCAGGAACAAAACAATCGGTATCTTCATGATCCATCAATTGCTGCCATAAGAAACGAAATTGAACGAACTACCTTTGCAATAAATGAGGAGTCTGATGGATCCGTTTGTCTAATAACAACCACATGGATAACTCCAGTGCCACCGATTGCTAAGAGTTCCCGGTCCTTCAACTGTGAGTACAATGGCTTCGGTTGTGGACAAGCTAAAGAGAAAACAGTTGGCGACTCTCCGGGATCCCCGCCAACGTTGGGCTCATCACGACGTCCATCGAGCTGGACTGAAGCCAACGGTTGCTGTGTTTTTAGGTCCCATAGGCGGAGTTCAGCATTCTGATAAAGTACCACCAGTTTCGGGCGATCAGTATTGATGGACGGAAGATAGAATGTGGCAGCCGAGGCAGGTGCACCACTGCCTGAAGAGAACATCATAATATATCAGTCAAGGGGATAAAATTCATGCATAAATGCAACATCGTAAAAAATCGTTCGACTGTAGCACCGTTTCAGTGCCTAACTGCCATGCCACCCGAAGGTTACACGAGGGCTGGGATACTGCCAGGTTGTCCAAGCCTAGACAGGGGAAGTCGAGAGGTGGAGATCGGGTTCGAATCATGAACCTTCCGGTCAGTAAATTAGTGCTCTAACCACTTGGGCCATCTCGCCCCTACTACTAACAGGGACTGAATCAATCGTGTCCATCTACACGTTTCGAGTCAAAAACTACAATGTCGATCAGCCGGTTAATGCAATCCTGGCTAAAACGTCCGGCTGACATACGCATTCGGAACCTTGCGTACACAAATCTTGCTTTGCGAAAGCGAGTGTCTATGGGCGACACCATTTCTCTACACTGACGCACGAAAAGTGATCTCGTCCTTTGACCACTGTGAAAAGAACATTTGAATGCGTGTTTGGCTATTGGTTTGGCGTCATCATCATCATCCTCTGAAGGAGGCACGAAGATTAACACAGGTCTCGGTAGACAACGTTTCAGCACACAGCCGACTCACCATGATTGAAGATTTTGGATGTTTCCTGCGACTGAGGTCCCCTCTGCACAACCAAATACCCGTTTTCCAATTACCTCGTAAGGGATTCGTTGACGCCGTTCGACACCAACACGTGAGACATTGGTTGTCGGAAGCCTGAAGACGTCTCACGTTGTCTGTCCGAAGAGGTCATGTCTCATAACAGTACAGCAACACAGCCCTCAGTGTAGCCTGGTACACGCGACCCTTGAGACCCAGTGGTATGTCTTTTTGACGCTGGTGACGTAAATTAACGTGTTAGCTATGTCTGACCGTGTACTTTGTTCCGTAAGCCAAAACCGATTGGCTAGATGTGAGCTGAGTACAAGTGCGACACATCAGTCATGTGGCCAGTTCATGAGGAGCACGCACGGCGTAATAAAACGCTTGCCGAAGTTTCTTCCCTGATCGAGTGAAGCCAGAAAACGAGAGTGAACTAGCGCACAGGTCTTTTTATTTATAAAACATTAAAGGTGTACTGCGGGGCGAGATAGCCCAAGTGGTTAGGGCGCAAATTTACTGACCGGAAGGTCCGTGGTTCGAACCCCACCTGTGCATGTCGACATCTCCTGTCTAGGCTTGGGCGACCTGGAGGTATCCCAGCTCTCGTGCTTCCTTCGAGTGGCATGACAGCTAGGCACCGATAGGTGTACTGCATCAGAATCGACGGTTCAATGGCATCGTACAGTACTACCAGAGGTACTATTCAGTCGACTTGCTTTCCAGTGAAAAGTAATTTCAGAAAGCAACATGCAGTAGCTTCAGAGGATAGAGAAAGAAACAACGTCGGTAGACAGCTTGTTGAAAAACACCACAGATAGAGGCCTGTAGCTGAAACCAGAATTCCACAAGCTCAACCATGCTGTTTTGTGGCGATTTCCCCAGTATGTTCATCATGCTCCTCCAAGCGCTTCACTACTGTAGTCATGCCTTTTTGTGTGAGTTTTCTCCGAAATTCACCAGTAGTCTTCAGCACGGCGATGTCTTATCACTTTCTCGTCTAATTTTGAGCTCACAATAACTATGCAAGACACTTCTGTGAAACACCTCAAGGATTTTGTACGTACAGACGATATCGCATCCACATTCTAGTGAACGTTCAGCTGTAACACCCTTTTGGTGCCTAGCTGTCATGCAACCCGAAGGAAGCACAAGGGCTGAGATACTGTCAGGTTGCCAAAGCCAAGACAGGGGAAGTCGAGATGCAGAGGTCGGGTTCGAACCACCGACCTCCTGGTCAGTAAATTCGCGCTCCAACCACTTGGGTTATCTCGCCCCCATACACATACCGTTTGTATAATACCGTCTTATGGTTCCGTTTACAAAGTTTACCCTCGAGATGCAACGTAGTGATGCAAAACTAAGCAAACATCACTAAACTTGGGCATGACATCAAAACCACCAGGGACAGTGGACAAACGAACTCATCTGGATGGTTGCATTACACCAAAAGGTAGCACTGCGAGTTGCTGGCAAAATGCACTAAAGCCCGCCGCACTTACCTCAAACATAGATACCTATGGGGTCAACGTTATACTGGCCTGTGAGCTCGAGATACTTCACCGATTAAGGCGCCAGCTTACTGACCGGGAGGTACATGTTTCGAACTCAACCTAGGCATCTGGAATGCTTCAATCAAGGTTTGGGCAACACGGTAGTAGTGTAGTCCTTCTGCCTCCTGCGGGTGGCATGGTGGTTTCGCAGCTGTCGAGCCTACAACATGACAGCGCTTCCAGTGTAACAGTGGGTACTACTAATGGGGACATGCAAGTAGTATGTTTTCTTGTGAATCCGCTTTGCGTCTCTTGAAAAGTGAGACCTATTACGGAATTTGTGGAGTCGCATTTACTTGTATTTGAGCAACAGTCAAGAATATCCAGGAACGTTTAGGAAGACGCGTTCAAGGAGAAGATAGATATTCAGTTTCCATAAACAAGATGCATGTGAGAGTTTTGCTTCCCTGTCCAATAGTCTGTAACTGTTCACTTGACGTTTTCTAAAAACTCCGTAGCGAAAGCCTTCTTCCTTTCACTGGTAGTAGCGCAGCTCTCCTGCCTCTTGTGGGTGGCATGGTGAATAGGTGCTAAAAGGGTGTCGCAGCTGGACGACTATATTGGTCTATCGGGTGTACAACATGACAGCGCTCCCAGTGTGGCCTAAACGCCAGTGTGAGAAAGAGATTCGACCATCGCGCTTAGGCTGCACCAACCAAGCTAGCTCGGTCAAGTGCCCCAAATAATAGGTCAACGATGGTCTTGTCATGCCCAAGTGGTAAGTCCGTGGTTCGAATCCCACCTGAGCCTCTCGACTTCCTCTGTCTAGGCTTGAACAACTTGGCAGTATCCCAGGCCTCGTGCTTCCTTCGGGTGTCATGACAGCTAGGCACCGGAAGAGTGCTACAGCTGAACGCTTGTCGTGCCCTGTTTGATGGAACGGGCTGCGACGGAAGGCATCACAGGGTGGGCAACACACAGCCCGGAGAGGACTCAGGCAAAGCGCAACAATGGGTCTCAGACGCGCTGCCGCATGTACTCTTCCACGTTCGTGTATCCCAAGTCGGCGATAACAAGCGCTCGTGTTACTCGGCAACACGGTAGTGTTACGCAGCGAGTATATTTATAGTATTTTCTCCTAATTACTACCCAATTAGCCTTATCTAGTTCCTTCTATGTTATGAGGAAAAAATAAATAATCGTTCGGCTGTAACACACTTTCAGTGCTTAACGGCCACGGCACTCAAAGGGACCACAAAGGCTAAGATACTGCCAGGTCGCCCAAGCCTAGACCGGAGCTGTCCAGATTAGGTTCGAACCACGGACCACCTGGTGAGTAAGCTCACTTCTTGACCGCCTATCTATGTAGACCTCTGCCACATTATGCACCATATCCATCCTACACTATTCAATGCCACACGTAGCGGAGATTAGAACCCTCCACACATACTAAAGCGGTTCATGGCCGCTGGACTGCACTGAACCCTTACCTGCTAAATATTTTACAGGTTTTGTTGTTCCTTTAGAAGTGGACGCACTGATTGAACGAAGCACCACTAGGCCGTCAGAATCACCGGAAGCCAACACTGCTGGCAGTGGTTTGGTCAAACAGGTGGATGATGGTTGCCACCAACAAAGCCATTGTAGGTCGCCCACAGTGTCCGAATGTATTAGCATCCATGGCTGCTGTCCGGTTTCCGGACGAAGCCAGACATGAACTCCACCGGCCATGTCTCCCGTCGCCAAGTATGTCCCGGTCGCACTGAAAGCAACGCAAGTGACAGAGTCTTCATGACCTGAAAAAAGAGAGATAACAAATAGGATCAAATCAGTGCAGAAGGTGGCCCAATACACTCGATAAAGCATTTCCACATTGATAGGAATCATCACTTAATGTCCTGTCCAGGTTAGGGACAAAAGTCTCTTAAACGTGTGTACGTAACGTCGATTTCCGCCAACACCACATCTTATAGGTGCGACGTATGCTATTCCTCTCTACCTCTGTAGTAACGGTATTTTTCTCAGCTTAGTTCTCGGTCTGAGCCTCCCAAGATAGCGTTCACGTTAAGACAACCACAAAAGGTGCACAAGGTATATTAACGCCCAAAACGAAGTCAGGAACACTTGTACAGCGCTTCATATATATGGCGTAGGCAGCAATAACTTTCTGGAAATTTTGACGCGTTCTGCATGCGCCACTGGTAACCGGCATCCGGTCAATACTGGGTCATGATTGGCTGTTGGGTTCAGATTTTCGACCAATCAGATCTCGGCCTGATGCCGGACCGACAAGCGTCCCTAATTTCTGGCTAATATTGCGTGGGATGGACTTCTCGGCCGTAGCAGCACCTGACTGCGAGCGGTAAAGAGGGACCCGTGTGGAGTTCCACCTAACAAACTTCTCTCTCCGCCTCGCTCACTAAGCTATAGTTCATAAGGATTTCCCTCTCTCCTACCCACAGAATGGGTCACCTACAGCACCCTTTCGGTTCCGAGTCACCATGCCACTCGAAGGAAGAGCGAGGACCAGGGCACTGTAAATCTGTCCATGCCTAGACAGGATCAGTCGAAATGCAGAGATTGGGCTCGGATCCTCCGGTCAGTAAATTCGCGCCTTAATCACGAGCCACCTCGAGCTCCTCACCCAAAAAAATATTATGTGAACCCATAGCTTCGAGCACGTTATCCCACCACGCTTCCGCAACACGCATTCACATACTGTGTGACCACACCAAGGTGGCTAGGAAAATGTGTGAATCCACTCATAAGGTTCTGACTCCACGCCGGTGTTGAGCCAATAAATTGATCAGTTACATGGCCAATACACAAATCTTCAAGTCTCGCACGATAACACCGCTAGGACTAGCCGGTTCACAGGGTTGACAGAAAACCGGGAATGCAGCCTTCAGAAAAGGAAGCCACTGTAGTGCACTCTGCTTATCGTTCCGGCTAATTTCTATGTTGAAGTGAAAACGGTCAACCGGGTTCCAGTTCACGAGGTCTGTATCATCTCTTTTGCGTCCACAGAAATTATCGACAACTTTTGCCCTTCAAGAGCAACTATTCAGATGGGTAAACGAGCTGCATCAGAGTGAGTGATACTCCAGAACGAACTGCTGAAAGCGTTGGACCCGATGTACAGCAACCGATCATATTTGTGGTTTTGATCAAAAGTACTGCTACACTGTCGAGAGTCCGGTCTGCAAAGCGTAGAGTTAGTGGCACAATGTTCAACACCAGAATTTTCATACACACCGATTTACCGCTATACTGGCGTGCGTCACAACGGAAAGTAAGCGTCATTTGTCTTTTGCTGTTCCAACCAAATTGTTTCCAATAGTTCATCCACTTTTCGCCGTTTTCACTATTATTTCCAGGGACTTTTCGGCTCCCCGGCTTCAGATTACTAGTCAGACTAGACTATCTCGACCACAGTGAAACGCGGCGAAAACTGGCGTTAAAGTCGCACACGTTCTTTGTAATGTACTACTCATAAGGTTGCTGAAAAATCGGTCGACACCCAACGACCGGTTTCGCCCTTTTTGGGACTCATCAGGTAGGCGCAAACCCCGGGTTTCCATCAATTTTATGTTCTACTTGAAACCAAATCGTACCAAAATAGCGAATACACTACTCACAAGGCTGCTGAAAATCTGTTCTTGTCCAAGACGGCTGGTGTTCTATCACGCAGCTCACAGCATATCAGCACTTCAGTGACAAACTGAAAGCACTGTAAGCCAAGAAAATCAGTGGTGTAAACTTGGGATAAGCTAGACGCTATCAGTTTCACCAAAGGACTCATCAGTAGGCGCAAATCCCGGGTTTCCATCAATTTTATGTTCTACTTGAAACCAAATCGTACCAAAATAGCGAATACACTACTCACAAGGCTGCTGAAAATCTGTTCTTGTCCAAGACGGCTGGTGTTCTATCACGCAGCTCACAGCATATCAGCACTTCAGTGACAAACTGAAAGCACTGTAAGCCAAGAAAATCAGTGGTGTAAACTTGGGATAAGCTAGACGCTATCAGTTTCACCAAAGTGGGATACCTTTTTTGGCGCGCGGTCAAGCAGTCAGACGTAACTGTGGATATGGAAAGCAAAAACGAGCAACCTGGAAGGCGTCTTTTGAGCTGAAATCAAAGTCGAGGATTCGATTCCAGTCAAATATTACTGACAGCAGAAAACTAGACGTACACAGTTCATGAACTGGACACACGCAAACAGGTCGTTGGTGGTGTCATTTTTATTGCAACAACGGCATTGATGACGTCACCTCTCGATTGGTGATGAAACATTTACAACGAACAAAATGATCTAACCCAGCGAACAGGTTGACCACCAACTGGACAAACTGAGCTAAAAAAAACTCTTCTGTATCAACAGCGGATCGTTTTATAAAACTGACTATTCAACTCCGAACAATAAAGGATCCGAAAAAGCCCACGGTATCTGTTGTTCCTGGATGGGGACCACGGGCCATGTCAATGGTTGAAGACATCGTCAGACATGGCCCAGTCGCACCCTCAATGGCGTTCGTGTATCCAAACTATTGCCTTCAATGCATAGCTCCCTTTCCAATCCCCCCAATTGACAGTCCACTGACAGTGACAAGTACGCGCACCAATTTATCAACTCCCATCTCCAACGCGCAGCTGCTTATCCCACCTCCCCAGATCATCAGTGGATGAAACTGCGGCAGCTACAACAACTGTACGACAAGTACGCGGTTCTTACAGCTGACAATGGTGATGATGTTCCCACAAACCAAGACATACCTTCGGTGGTGAACACCTGAGCTCCAGTTTCCACCTCCCAGACGATTGCCACATGATCCTGCCCTCCAGAGACGAGGTACTTGCCCAGCGGATCGGATGCGAGGCAGAAAACACTTTCTTGGAAAAATATGGAGAAATTGTAGAAGCACCATGAGATATATAAGGATGGGAGACAAAAACAAGACACCTAAACTTATACATTGGACCAGTTGATGTAGTCGACCCACACTGTAGTAAGGGAATAGACTGCGAATGAGCATGTGATGTGCCTGCATCCATGGTAATAAATATACTAATATACTTAAGTAATATACATTAACATAATATACATAGCATTATATATACATTATACCATATACATAATATACAGTAATATGATAATATACATTATATACATAATATACTACTATACTACTAATATTACTATCGTTTATTTTAGGAGAGCACGGTCACAGACATAAAAAGTAACATCAGACGATGAATGTGGAAGGGCTAAAGGAGAATATTGGATAAAAAAAGAGAAGCGTCTCAGTCGAAGTCATGCTAGTTCAGTTCCCAACGTATGTAAGAATTTTTGGTATGGAAACGCGCGTGTAAAAACCAACAACCGAAGAAAGGACAGACAATGTTGAATGCTCTTTAGGGCGCGGTAAGCGCTAGCACAGTCAAGACTCACACAAAGTGTCCGTCATACTGGGTCTGGTGTGAGGTTCAATGGCAAGAATGTACGCTCAACGCCACGTACCAGGCAGAGAGCCCACAATGGCAAGCAAACACAAATCACTGACTGCGACCTCAGGGAGTGCCAGTCCAATACTACTACTGAAAGGAAGAAGACCTTCGCTGCGGAGTTATTTATTAGAAAATGCCAACTGAACAGTTACAGACCACTGGACAGCGGAGCAGAGCTCTCATATGCATCTTGTGTACAAAACTGAATATCCATCTTCTCCTTGAACAGGTCTTCCTGAACTTTCCTGGATATTCATTGACTGTTACTCATTGACTTCATTGACTGTTACTCAATTGCAAGCAAATGCGACTCCACAAGTTCCGTAATAGATCTCACTTTTCAAGAGATGCAAAGCGGATTCGCGGGAAAACATACTACTCGCATGTCCCCCACTAGTAGTATCACAGTTACACTACTACTAATAATAATAAGAGCTCGAGAGAGCTCGGTGGTTAGGGTGCAAACATTCCAATGGAAGGTTCAAAAATAGCCTGTGCATCTCAACTGCTTGTCTTATTTGGAAAACCTGACAGTACCTGAGCCACCGGGTGGCACATCAGTGAGGTTACATAACTGCACCTCAAGCATTCCGTCTTATAGGTCAAGATTCTTGAGTGAACGACCAGTATGAAAGAAAAGTGAAAAGATCAGTCTCATGGATTTTCACTCAAATTACACCGCGATAAACGTGAAAAGGATAGATCCACCATGCCGGTAGCGAATTACGCCACATGCGACTAAATTTCACAGTCTCTAAAGACAGGGAACACAAATGATAGATACCAGCCTCTATGGTAAAACTGTCCAGTACTAGAGGAAAAGAGCTGGAGAGGCATGAACCCATAGAGGAAACTTGATAATATCGAATAAAGGTGTCCTTCTTTTATAGAGTAGATTGGCCGGAGAAATCGTTCAGCTGTGGCACCATTTCGATGCCCAACTATCATGCGGCCACAAAGAAGCACGGGGGCTGGGATACTGCCTGGTTGCCAAGCCTAGACAGGAGAAGTCGAGAGGCAGAGGTCGGGTTCGAACCACGGACCCTCCGATCAGCACATTCGCACTCTAACCATTCGCGCCACCAACTGACCGGAGAGGGACAACTGTATGAGGAAAAGGGAACCAAGTTTGAGTTGCTGTGAGTGAAATTCAGAAATCATTGAAAAGTACCCACAATGTTACCTTTGTGACCGTCTAGTACCTTGATCGCATCATCATGACAGGGGCGCTGTCCCTCTGAGTCAGCCAATTCGGAATCACTTTCTGGAAAGCGGGGAAAAGTGGAGAATCTGTTAAAGGAAACGCAGTAAGTACATGATTTCGGCAAGTATTCCTCGGAAGATGCTCAATGGTTTGTTACTACAACTGCGGCTATAGAACTATAATGACGAAGTAGCATAAGCAGCCAATAACTTGTAGACATTAGCGATAAGTTATGATTTAACATACCCGCTACGCTTTAGGAGTGATAGTGCGCGACTGACGGTCAAAGAAGCACTATTCTTCGATGTTTTTCGCTCAAACCCCGAAACACCAGTGGCATTAAGCACGTCACAAAGAATGAGGTGGTTGCTGCCCACCTGAGTAAAGCAGGACACTTCTAGTTCACCATGACACCATATTAGGACTACAAGCCCAAATGTGTTGGAATATTGACGAATTGGGACCATTGGTGTCCATCGAAGATGTCCCATCGACTGAAGACTTGGTCGGTCAAATGTGGCGAAAAGGTCAACGTCCACAAAGTCTAAAACTACCAATGACACCCAAGTACGCATTCACAAAACGGCTGTGCGAAATACCGGCAAAAAAAGACATCATGCACGATCTGAATAGACATAGAAGGGGTCCATGAGAACAACGGTCAATTTCAATTAGTCAGCTACAAGCCGTGTACCATTGGTTCCAGCCAGTTCAGTTACGATCACCGGGAATAAGGGTAGTGAGACATAGAGCCAAGCACTGGAGATAATTGCCTGTTCAGTTAGTTCGGGAACTGGGTAGCTACGCATTGAATCCCATAGCTTTGATGCATGACTGCGCGATTGAGTCATGTCCGCCATTACCATCAACCACTGGTGAGTTTATTCCGGGGGTCCCCATCCAAGTGTCGACCCAACTCACTTTACTGACCAGTGTTTCCATACGTCGTTGCCATTCGATTGCTCCAACTCAACACGAGATAAATAATACTCTAGCACGAGGAGTACATGTCCTAACCACCGTAAAACCACGAAGCCTGAGTAATCCATCTATCGCGGGAAAGTTCCTCCTTCTTAAAGCCATCTGGCGTACCTCAGCATTACTGATCCGATGTCCCCTAGATCTGAACGATACTTCAGAGACACCGATGATCAAACACTGACACCTTTCTCACGTCCCCCATTCATGCAACCGATAAACCATCTCACTATGGAAGTCATTCAGTGACATTAGTCCATCAACTACTTCAGTGGAAAAAAAATTAAAATTCATTGGTGGCACAAAGTGAAGAGGACAGGATACTACCTTCACGAGGAAACCCGCAAATGGGAGTATTCCGTTGAGGTGATGATTTTGACGGCGTGTATTCCCTCAAACACAACCCCATCTCAAGAATACAAACTATCTAAAACTTTCTGATTCCCCAACTAGGCGACCTGTTCTTCGGTTACCAAAGTTTATGTCTAATTGATAGCTTGTGTCCAATAGCTTACTGAAAATAGAGAGTACACTAATGATAAACCCAACAACTTTACTACCGAGCCAATGAGTCAAAAATACACGAAATCCCGGGCTGACAAACGTTAGCGTGTTTGAACTCTGCTCGTATCCAGTTAGATGATTACGGGAGGCAAGAACGTGCTAGAGTTACGAAACACTGCTCACCGCCCGCCGATTAAATGCTTGAAAGCCCTATCAAGATTTAGCCTCATGAAGTTTTGGTAGAGTTTCAATAAGTGAAATTAGATCGCAGTATGAGACTTCTTGTTGGGAAGGCCAATCTATGCTGAAAAGTCGAGAAGCACTGGACAACTATCTCAGCTTTACTGGCAATCACCTGCAATGCGCATTTTACAAAACTCAGAGTTTCGAAGCCGCGACCTTCCGTCAGTGGCTGAAAGTGCGATCGTTAGAACTCTGATGGACAGACAGCAGTGTGATTAGCTCTCATACGCAGAACATAGCGCCACTCATTCTTCAATCACGGAAACCACTCACATGTCCACGTATTGACTGGCTGCTCGAGTCAAGACTTCTCAGATGGACATTTTACTCGGGAAAAATTTCCCTGAGCCAAACACACTGATCATGTTATTCCGCTGGTCCTTTCGAGGGTCTGACACCGCCGGCAGTCACCGAACCAGACGTGCCAATCGGAAACACGATAACCACCGGGTGCCATAAGCACGACCTACGTGTAATTGCGCAGAACGACAGGCTTTCCTTGGCCGAAGTTTACCTGACTTGACCAATAATCGATCGTATGCACACAGCGCGGTGCAATAAGACATGCGACAACAGAGTGGACGGTAACGAAACTTGACGAAGGAACGAAGCATTGAATGATGATTCAAGGTTAATTGAGCTTCCTGCAGTTTCCACGGTTTTCGTTTTTTATTGCGATGTATCTTCGTGATGAATTACATATATCATTCTTATCTTGGTTCATACGATAAGCACAAAAACCACTATTTTGCAGTGAAATCGACGACAGGAACAGTAACGGAAACGAATGAGTACTAAAATTAGGAGTAGTCACTCCAGAAGCGAAAGTGTTTACCTCACACTCACGGAATATGATGAGAACAACCAAAAACTGAGACATTCTCACTCGGATGCACAAGGCATTCTTACTGAACATCCAACCGACGAGGAAACATCCTAGTTCAGATGAGGGCATCGCATCTCCGGAAGATGTCTACTCGATGGGAAAGACATTGAACGCCGCTCAGCTAAGGTGTTACTGGACGACAAAAATGCAGAGTAAACACGAAATAGGTTCCCTATTAAAATTCGATTCCTTAAATAGCAGTATTTTGCTGTAGGGAATGGAGAATATCATACTCTTCAATATAGGCACAACATTCACGTAAACTTGTAACTCAAAATAGCCCAAATGAGTAGTCTGTCTACTGAAATCAATTATCGATGCCTGTCCAACCACAGTGAGATGTGGAACCAAGTCCGAAATTTCTGGTATACAACAGCCGAAACCATCTCTCGGATGACGTTAAATACACCCTGGATGGTGAAGGATATCAGGCTGATACCCGGGTGGTTTTCCCATGACTCTCTTACGTCCTTTTTGACCATCGCGAAGGTCCATTCTCTTTTCGTTCCAAATCTTCTTAATTATAGTCAGGCAGTTCACCACTTTCGAAGAATGCGAGGTGTAAGCCATGTGCCTTCTCACGCCTGAGGATCAATACCTCAAGCTGGATTTCGATTTTTGAAGGCGCGCTGGCGTCGATGTTCCATTCAGGCCCACTGTGTTCTTCCAGCGGTTGTGTTGAAGGAGTCCGGCTGAACGGTCCTTTGAAGTGCTCAGCCCATCGCTCAGGATGACGATTTTGTGAGTCATCATCATAACCATTGTCAGCTGTAAGAACCGCGTACTTGTCGTGCAGTGGTCGCAGTTGCCAGTTTCGTTCACCGATGATTTGGGATAATTAACTGCGCATTGGAGGCTGGAGCTGGTAAATTTGTGCGTAAATACGGCACTCACAGTGGACTGTCAATTGGGGGGTTGGTTGGGAAGGGAGCTAGGCATTGAAGGCAACAGCTTGGATGCACGAGCGCCACTGAGGGTGCGACTGGGCCGCGACTGACAATGTTTCCAACCATTGATGTGGCCCGTCTCGGGGTACCCATCAAGGAAGGCGGAAATGACCAGCGCAGCTGAGTTTGCTGGCAATGGCTTTAATACTTCGCTGCCAATTCATTGTTTGACAGCCTCTGGCTCGTTTCTACCCTTCACGTGGTTGTGCAAAAAGAACCCTTTGAAGAAGTCGGGCGATTGGCATACTCGGCACATGGCCAAGCCAGTGCAACTTATGCACTGTGATCAGTTCATTATCGGGAGTGAGTTGTGTCTTCCGAATACCGTTCGACGTACTTTAGCATTGCTGATCCGGTGTTCCCACCAGACTCGGGCAATGCTCCGAAGACATCGATGGTGAAACACCGAGTCTTTTGACGTCCTCAGCGTGCAACGACCAGGTTTCTGATCCGTATAGTAGTATGGAGCGCACCGACCCTCGATAAAAACGTCTAGCCATGACACTTCTGGTGCCTAGCTGCCATGCCACCCGAAGGAAGCACGAGGGTTGGGATACTGCCAGGTTATCCAAGCCTAGACAGGGAAGTCGAAAGGCAGAGGTCGTGTTCGAACCACGGATCCTCCGGTCAGCACATTCGTGTTCTAGCCACTGAGCTATCTCGTCCCCGATTTGACATAGAGTACGGAAATTAGAGGCTGTAACGTAGATTAGATCTTTTGAGGCTGGCAAGTTATCTTGGCCTAATTTTTCTGAGCGAAGATTTAGACAAGGAACAGGGAATTGACAAATGAGCTAATCACACTGCAGTGTTCGATGAGTGGGAGGAGCGGAGTTGCAAAGACTTCCTGGTATTGGGTTTGGTTGAGGTACCACACCCTGAGCCTTGGACTCAAAAGTCCGATCCACAAGGCAGTGGATGTAGGGTTTTGTTCGGGGACCCTGCTCCTAGCCTCTCTCTCAAAAGTCTGAACGGCGAGACAGCAGTTGTTAGGATTGGGGGAACTTTCCTGGAGCCAATAGCTCAAGAGTCTGGCCCGCTTGATTGCAGGGGACCTGTTTGGCCTGTGGGCGCAGAGAGTAAGGCACTACCATCGCACATCTAATGCAGCAGGTGCCTTTTTAGCAGCATTGAATTCTTTGGGTTTTAAAGTATTTCAACCGCGTGGAATAATGCGCCGGCGTCACGGGAAACCGCTGGGCGATCGGAGTGTGTAGTTTTTAGGGTAAACCTTTTCTAACCGTCCTTCCTCTGAGAAGGCAGCATCGCTGCTTCCAAAATATGGACATCCCGGTCGTTTGGGGAAAACGCCTAACAGCTTTAAAACTCCTATTGCAGGGACCAGTGCGACAGTAGAGGGACTCACCGTCCTTCGTCAGGTTCCTCTCCATTGGACTTCCTGACGTCGTTGAAATTTGGGGAACTGGGATCCAGCCAGTATGGCCTACAAGACCGCCGCAGCATACAGACCTGACCACCATAAGTGACAGCTTTAGGTTGGGACCCGAATTTTATACCTACAGATAAGCAAACTGATGTGATTGGCAAATTTCTTCACCTGAGCAGTCGCAACTCTGTGGCTAAGGACGAAACCACCCTTCAGATAGGGAAAGTGAGGAACGTTTTGTTAGCATGACATATGCGGCATCGACGCGACATCAACCTGCCTATGAACGACCAACATCTTGAAAAAGCCCTCTTCGCTAAGCTGGTCGTTCGAAAGACGTTCCTGTGGATGAATTGAAGTCCCATTCTTCTCGTAGAGCGCTTTACTAACAGTCGCCCGCCGCGACCCAGTTGACTAGATTAGCTGGAATAGGACGCGGTGAATTTCCGTTGCGAGAGCTCCTCCATTTCTCTGAAATTTTCTACCCGCCAGCGATTACCACCAGTGCCTGGACTCTTCACTACCTGGCGCACCCCTCCGTAATGGTTTACTGTTGTTATGGTCTTGGTATTTATAAAAACTCTTGACTGTGACGGAACCCAGTGCACAGTATTCTCGGTCAGACGGATTCAAAGGCCGCGAGCATAACTCACGTTTTCCAGTCGTCACCGAAATCATCAATATGGCTATTGAGCTGACTGAATTCTGTAACCTCTTCAGCGGAGTCAATTCGGTTAGAGAGAAATTGGCTGCACAGACGCTTTTCACGTGATGAACTAAATGGCATCCAACCAACCGCTGAGTTTCACAGGAGGAATAAATAGATATACATGCCACCACAATGTTGTCAAAATCAAGTAGTGACTGCAAAATTAACTACAATCGCGCAGACTAACTGTTCACCGCAACACGGTCCAGTTGACCCGAAGGAATGATTGCAGTTGAAGGTGCACCTGGACTAACATATGTGAGCGCGCACTGCCTAGATATTATGGCGATCAAGCATCAGTACTAAGGTATTGCGTCAAATACGATGACGAGTGGATGGAAAATAAAGAAGTCTTCCCCAATGTCTTCGCCATGGGTGTCAACTTCACGTCGGCATTCGAGATGGATTTCCCCGGGAACTAATCTACTAACCCCCCCCGGCTGATAACACGAGCACGTGAGAAATGTCAATAGAAGCTACCTTCCTCAGTATCAGAGTTGTCGTCTGCCGGAGCGTGTGCTTAAAAAACACACACCGCGTATCGCGTTCAGAAACAACTGAACTTAAACGACCAAGTCAACCAAAACCTAGAGACGATCGACTGGAGTCCTGTCCAGTTAGACACTCCAGATACCACAATTCACTCCGTCATGACCACCAGAATCCGAATAGTAGAATGTGAGAAATCCGGGTTCATCTTGAGCGATTTAACGGGGCACGTCCCCGGGACACAAGAGAAAAACAGGTTTGAGCAGAAGATATCTCGTGTCCGGATTCACAGTAAGAAAGCCATGCGGATTAGACCCCTTGAATTAACACAGGTTTAATTACAGTGCAAAGGTTAGGTGACCGACACCTAAACAAGTCAGACTTGGTTTAAGGAAATATGGGATTTCTCGGCCTGGCCGCCACAAAGTGACAGCTGTCACCTTCGGGCTTCAGTGCTGCGGCAACTCTGTGGACTAAGCTGGCTGAAAAGTGGTTCCAAAAGGTTTGGCAATGCCAAGAATTACAACGGGGTGAAGCCCGACGGCGAACAAGTAGGTACTCGAACTGTAAGTTGTCTTACCAGGCACTTTGGAGGTAGAGACCTACTGCTCCTTGTGATAAGAGTGTGAAGGCGGTAACAACCCCCCTGCAGCCGAGTAAAATGTTCGCACCTATGCAAACAGCGATAGTGTTCTTCCCCGAGATGAGCTAGAAAGGGTCGGTCCTAAACATGACACACTACGATGCTCACGGGCCCATTACTCAACACAGATAAAATACTTTCAGAGATAGAGTTTGGTAATGTTCATGTGCCTGCTGTACACAGCCATACTGAGTCAGACAGTAGCGTCTAACTTCTCGCACCTTAAGTCCAGGCCATCACTGCGCTTCTAAGTGGGTCCAACTAATGAGTCAATAGGAGACTCCTTCAAAAATCTAACCGCCACCTCGCGGTTCGGAGGCTAGAGGAGGGTATCCCATGAGAATATAACATCCTCGAACTGCCCTGCGGGTCATCCATCTCACTCAAGCTTTGGCACATCAACCAAGCCCCTCCCTCGGTCTGGACGCTCCAAAACTTAGGGACCATCCGTGGGCTACAGATGTCTTGTAGTCGAACCACACTCCGGGGGGACCTACCCATGAATGAGCTAGTGGAGTCGCAGTTTTTTGTCTGAGTTGTCTACGCTTTCGCCATAGCTCGAACACCTTGCACAAGAGCTGACCGGTCTACTGTGTGCAGGCGATGCAAAAGCCGTGGGTAAACACTGAGCAGTACTTGGACTGACAGCACCAACGTACTGTACATCGTAGTCACTGAACGCCACGCAACAGCAGACTTCTGGAAAGCCGACTGCACCAAGCGAATCTTCGATCGAAATTAACGGTGACGACTATCATCACCATCAGCAATGTCCAACGCTTATGCTTCACTGCCGTACAACCACGATTTATTTGAAAGCTTATTTTGAAAAAAGAATAAGACTGGATGAGACTTGATGCCAGCTTGCCACGATCGTTTCGAGGTGCCTGCACCTTCGAACACTCAAGGCAACCTGACAGCACTACCACTGAAATCGACTAGCAGCCATGCCCTATAGCGCCTCATAACAGGCGCGGTTGGCATCACACGGTCCTAGTCCTCGAAGACGAGCCGCACCGACAACACAAACGTTTCTCAATCTCTTTCATAATCCTGTCGGGTCATGGGTCTGTCACCTCTCTTAATTAGGTACGGGAAACACTCTTCGGCATGCGAATTACATGGACAAAACATGCCTTCTATAATGGATACATCCTTTGGTTGAAGTCTCCGTCGCACAACCGAATTTGCCTCCTAATTACATCGCCGGCACTAACTCACGAGGTATGATTCTGAGACGACTGTTGTCGAACACATTAAAACGTCCGTTGATTGAACAGATCAAGTCCGACAGTCATACGACGAAATAGCTCGCGCTGTAGTTTGATACACACGTCCCTTGAGATTCGGCGACACAAATCCGCCGCCATACGTGTTTCAGATGTGCAAACGTGACCCGGGCCTTCCAGTTACGTGCATCCCCCTAATCACACTACAACCAGAGCCAGTACAAATTCCAAGGTAAAAACGGTGAATCCCAGCAGCAATTTATATACTGGGACGATCACGTCAGCGGTGAGACCGCAGTCGCTGTGCGCCATCAGCCTTAATTGCCCCTACGGAAACCCATCTAACTGACCCATCTGAACTTGGGCTCCTCGTTTGCGGCGTAAGGTCCGAATTGTGGGAAGTCCACCGAGCAACTCCTCGGGTCGAGGCTACATTTTAGAAATAAAGGGGCCCAACACGTCATCACCTGGATGGTCTAGTCGGACGTTAAAATCTCAGGCATGTAGAACGCCCCCTGCAGAGCGGGCATCCAATCCGGAACTCGTGCATTTGAAACCAAGATTAAAGTCAGGCGATCTTCTCCAGCATCGCAACTAAATCCTTGGGACTAGCCACCCGGTGCAATGCAAACCGGCAACCTCAGCACGACACACCTAAGGAGACGGGTCTACTAATTCGCCAGGTATGGCACGTTGATCTACAACTGGACTCTTCTTTTACACGACACGATCACTCTTGCACTTGTCATCCCATTCTTACACCAGCGCTTCGCTGCACACAACTGGAGTATCTCACGTTTGCATGAATAAATGCCAACCCACCTACAGCCACTCCTTACTAAACGAATCAAAACAACCAGTTCAAAAGCACGAGACGATTGACTGCATGGTGTTGATGTCAACCGACACCGAAGCAACACACCGAACAAGGCTGGAAGGCATACCTGGTTCAACAAGTCGACCTTCAGCGTCATCACACTCCTCAACGTAATCCATATCCTCATAAGAAGCATGGCCGAGATCCTCCGAATCATCCATTACCTAAAGCGAAAAAACGAAGCGCAAGATGATTGCGATTCCTGTCGGACTATTTAAAATCCCAACGGCTCGTAAACCAGATAAAAAGACAAGGTATCCAAAGAGAAATATTTATTCACTTTCGAACATGAGAAATGATCGGGATGTATCGACAGCTACTTGCTCCTCTCCCTCATCTTCCTGCGTTTGCGCTTCAACCTCCTCATCCTCTTTTTGCGCCACTTAGCACGCATCTAATATGAAAAAAATCAGACGGACAATGTGGGACCCACGGTCAACGCGGCGCGTCGGCAGCAAAGGGAGCGGACAAACGAACAGTCGACTCAAACAAGGAAAGCTTTTTAGCATCCGGATCGAACGAGATGGCACAAAGCGTTGGTAGTTCCTTTGGTTCGGTTAGACCAAAATTTCTTGCGTCGTCATTCTTAAAAGGTCTGTGAGACCGCCTGTTCGTGGACTACGGTGGCCTTCATGCGCGTGGTTTTTAAAATTTTCGGAGTGTGTTGAGGCCAGCATTGAACATTTTCGTGGTCACAACGGCTCCGGTAATATCCAGTGAGGCTGTATATATTTTGTTGCATGCTGTTCAGAATGCTGTTATGCGGATCAATATTCTTAATTCGGTTGTTTTCAGTTGCGAGCGTTCCACCTGTGCTCGCCTTAGTTGTGTTGACTATCATTTTCGGAGGACCCACGGCTGCGTGTTCCGCATGTTGTTCAGTGGAAAGAAAACATAACCGTACAATCTATACGTTCACCGAAATTTCGTGATTCATTGGGCGAACTTCGCTGGCTGTTTGCACGCTTCGCTTATAAGCAAGCGTGGTAAAAACCTTTCTAGAAAACGGTCATTTAGGTTTCGCGCAAGTGACTACCCGACAAAGCTCCATAACTATCGGCTGGTTAGCATGGCGATCTGCCGTCTGCTCAACAAATGAAATGTACTTAAATAAATAAACAAAACATTTTCGTCCATCATTCCATCCTACCGTCTGGATAAAATGTGCAGCCCAAACTTCTTCGCATTGGTGCTCGGGAAGGCGATATTTCTTTCGTTTCACTCCGCTTTGTGAACACGGTGTTATAAGTTTCGGTGAAGTATCAGCCCATATCATCAATTTCGCGCGTTATGCTTAATTTTTTGCTGTGGCGGGCTGCATGCACGGTCGTAAAATGGTCCGAGTAGCTATTCGCCGTGAAGCAGACGTGGGTCCACCATAATGAGGATATACTCACATTCATCTTCAATGAGTTTCGCCTACCTGGCATCGGTTAGCCGACCCAGTTGAGCTAAGAATGGTCTCTCATGGTATCCAACTTTGGGAGACTGCAGGCCGAAGGAGGGAATTTGGTTGATGTGCCAAACCTTGAGTGAGATATCTGACCCGCAGGGCAGTTCGAGGATGTTATACGACCCAGTTTAAGAATGGTCTCTCATGGTATCCAACTTTGGGAGACTGCAGGCCGAAGGAGGGAATTTGGTTGATGTGCCAAACCTTGATTGAGTGATCTGACCCGCAGGGCAGTTCGAGGATGTTATATTCTCATGGGGTACCCTCTGTAGCCGACATTCACATGTTCCCTCAACCAGCTTCACCTAATTTGTCCAGTACATGGGTGTGTACTAGATCCCGCGACTGACCTGCTATTACAAGTCAGTTCCTGTTTAGTACGCACGGAACGATTTTTCTTCCGCGTTACACGGATGCACTGTTTTCTCACACATCGACATCCTTCGTGCTTATCATCACATACCTATACACCCTGAGGACGTTCCTAAAACTGCTATCACCACACCGTTTGGGTTGTTTGAATTTTTACGCATGCCTTTTGGTCTGCGTAACGCTGCACAAACATTTCAACGTTTTATTGACCAAGTACTAAATGGTCTACCTTTCGTTTTTGCTTATCTTGACGATATCCTCGTGGCTAGTAGCACACCTGAACAACACTTAAAAGATTTGCGTACCTTATTTACACGTTTATCTGAATATGGCGTTGTAATTAATGCTGAGAAATGTGTTTTTGCCTCTCCTTCATTGAATTTTCTCGGACATACCATTGATAAAACCGGAATATCACCAGTCTCTGATAAACTGGATGTCATTCGTAATTTTCCTGTCCCTACCTCTATTAAACAGCTGAAACGTTTTTTGGGAATGATGAATTTTTATCGCCGTTTTATTCCCAGTGCTGCAAAACACTTGGAACCTTTTACTAATCTATTAGCTGGCCAACCTTCTAAGCAATTGAACTTTGATGACTCTCTTAGACAAGCTTTTGAGCAAGTAAAGACTTTACTAGTTGATTCTTTAAAATTATTTCATGTGCAACCTGATGCACCTTTATCCCTGGCCGTTGACGCATCTAACGTAGCCGTAGGCGCAGTTCTACAACAGTCTGTTCAAGGCGAATTGCAACCACTTGGGTTCTTTTCAAGAAAGCTCTCACCTACAGAATCTCGTTACAGCACCTTCGGCCGAGAGTTGCTTGCCATTTACTCTTCCGTTCGCCATTTTCGCCATTTCCTTGAAGGCCGGAACTTTTGTGTTCTCACAGATCATAAACCCTTAACATTTGCTCTACAAGCCAAAACCGACAAATACTCCCCTCGCGAAATTCGTCATTTAGATTATATTTCTCAGTTTACCAATGACATACGTCACATTTCTGGTCAACATAATATCGTCGCTGATACCTTGTCACGTCCAGCAGTTGATGCAATCATCGGTACTCCCATCATCGATCTGGAACGAATGGCTCAACTACAAAAGGATGAATCTTTTTCATCATCAGAAGTTAAGCCCTGCTCGCTTGCGCTTCAACAGCTGCCTCTACAGACTGCACCTGGAACAATAAATTGTGACGTCTCTAATCCAATCCCTCGCCCCTTAGTTCCCCCCTCCATGCGACGATTAGTGTTTGATGCCTTGCATAATGTTTCACATCCTGGTATCCGTGCTACGGTCAAACTCATAACCCAGCGTTTCGTATGGCCGAATATGAACCGTGACATCCGTCAATGGGTAAAAACTTGTCTCGCTTGTCAACGTTCCAAAGTCATTCGCCATACGCACTCCGCCATCGGTACTTTTGCAAGCCCTGATAGTAGATTCGACCACATTCATTTGGATATTGTTGGCCCACTCCCTCCATCCAACGGCAATTCGTATATCCTTACTTGCATTGATAGGTTTACAAGATGGCCTGAAGCCATCCCTATTCCTGATATCTCTGCGACAACGATTGCTCGTGCTTTCGTCACCAGGTGGATCTCTATCTTCGGTATTCCTTCATTCATTACAACAGACCGTGGTTCTCAGTTCGAATCACAGCTTTTTCGACAACTAACCGAACTTCTAGGATGCAAGCGCATCCGCACCACCGCTTATCATCCGCAAGCTAACGGTCTAGTTGAGCGTTTCCACAGACATCTAAAAACCGCCATCAAAACTCATCAGCAACCTAGCAACTGGAGTGATCTGTTACCCATTATACTGCTTCACTTACGCACTATGTTTCGTTCAACACTACAATGCACACCAGCTGAGCTAGTCTTCGGTACATCACTCCGAATTCCAGGACAGTTTTTCTCATCTGAAGCTAGTCCTCCCGGTGATACGTTGACCTACGTCACGCAGTTGAAAGCACATATGTCGCGCCTTCGTTATCACTCACCACCATTGTCAAACAGAGTACCCTATATTCCCCTTGATCTCTCCTCATGCAAATACGTTTTTGTGCGTTCTGATCAGGTCAAACATCCTTTACAACCTCCGTATAACGGCCCCTTTCCAGTGCTTGCTCGACATCAGAAACATTTTACGGTACAGTTACACAACAGAACGGATAACATAAGCATTGACCGTTTGAAACCAGCATACATGGATTTTCTCGATCCTTGCACTACAGATAACGACAAGCCCGGAAATTCCACGACGATATCCAAGGCCCCATCAGACACAGATTCCAAGAGCACACCTCACCACATCACCCGTTCCGGCAGACACGTACACTGGCCAGATCGTTTCATCGCAAGTTGACATCAACTAGTTCATCACATTTTGACACATCAAACGTCCAAGCGACCATTTTTTTAAATATTTTTGTTGTTCCTTTTCGTTAGGGGGAGAGTATTTGTAGCGGACATTCACATGTTCCCTCAACCAGCTTCACCTAATTTGTCCAGTACATGCGTGTGTACTAGATCCCGCGACTGACCTGCTATTACAAGTCAGTTCCTGTTTAGTACGCACGGAACGATTCATGTTTTTGTACACACGTCAAACCTTCCTGTATAAGGACAGAACACAATCAAACACAAGCACACAAATCACGTGACAAACGCCGTTTCGCCCGCGTACTAAACAGGAACTGACTTGTAATAGCAGGTCAGTCGCGGGATCTAGTACACACCCATGTACTGGACAAATTAGGTGAAGCTGGTTGAGGGAACATGTGAATGACCGCTACACCTCCTCTAGCCTCCGAACCGCGAGGTGGCGGTTAGATTTTTGAAGGAGTCTCCTATTGACTCGTTAGTTGGACCCACTTAGAAGCGCAGTGATGGCCTGGACTTAAGTTGCGAGAAGTTAGACGCTACTGTCTGACTCAGTATGGCTGTGTACAGCAGGCACATGAACATTACCAAACTCTATCTCTGAAAGTATTTTATCTGTGTTGAGTAATGGGCCCGTGAGCATCGTAGTGTGTCATGTTTAGGACCGACCCTTTCTAGCTCATCTCGGGGAAGAACACTATCGCTGTTTGCATAGGTGCGAACATTTTACTCGGCTGCAGGGGGGTTGTTACCGCCTTCACACTCTTATCACAAGGAGCAGTAGGTCTCTACCTCCAAAGTGCCTGGTAAGACAACTTACAGTTCGAGTACCTACTTGTTCGCCGTCGGGCTTCACCCCGTTGTAATTCTTGGCATTGCTAAACCTTTTGGAACCACTTTTCAGCCAGCTTAGTCCACAGAGTTGCCGCAGCACTGAAGCCCGAAGGTGACAGCTGTCACTTTGTGGCGGCCAGGCCGAGAAATCCCATATTTCCTTAAACCAAGTCTGACTTGTTTAGGTGTCGGTCACCTAACCTTTGCACTGTAATTAAACCTGTGTTAATTCAAGGGGTCTAATCCGCATGGCTTTCTTACTGTGAATCCGGACACGAGATATCTTCTGCTCAAACCTGTTTTTCTCTTGTGTCCCGGGGACGTGCCCCGTTAAATCGCTCAAGATGAACCCGGATTTCTCACATTCTACTATTCGGATTCTGGTGGTCATGACGGAGTGAATTGTGGTATCTGGAGTGTCTAACTGGACAGGACTCCAGTCGATCGTCTCTAGGTTTTGGTTGACTTGGTCGTTTAAGTTCAGTTGTTTCTGAACGCGATACGCGGTGTGTGTTTTGTAAGCACACGCTCCGGCAGACGACAACTCTGATACTGAGGAAGGTAGCTTCTATTGACATTTCTCACGTGCTCGTGTTATCAGTTATCCTGTGTTAGTAACACGCAGGTCAATTTACTTTTTCTATGGAATATTTGCAACGGAATGTTGTTGAGATTCTCCAAAACTTCAATAGTTTGTAAGAGCCTCATCTTAATCCGCCCAGAGTATCTGCTTAATATACTTCTCAGCTACAGTGCTCTTCGCATTTTTGGCTTAGGTAGACAGTTCATTGTTGGGTGCAGATTCATTAGAACTAATGTGGTTTCGCCCTGGCCGCGGATGAATTTACAAATTCTTGAACAGCCCGACGCTTTGCGTTTTCCCAATTTGGTCGTTTTTCTTGATCGTAAACCTGCTTCTTATTTCGTCGATAGTCAGATATTTTGGCAATTACTTTGGATCAAATTTGTTCTTTCCAAATTCACATGGCTTATGATGGCATGGTATGCGAATCCGCGCGAATTCCTGCGTGCATTCCGCAAGATTTCGCCTGATTTCACCGCGTCCAATAGTGTTTGAGAAAGCCGTCCCCTCACCTTTCCTGTCACAATACGTTACTGATGTGCTTGATCACAGTACTCTTCCTGCCTCCAAAATCCCCGGGTGCCAAAAGGCTCCAGGGTTCAAATCTGTGGCAGCTGGACCGAATGTGCCTGTGGTATACGGTCTACAGTAAATAAATTGATTGATGGATATACTTTTGTCTCCAGCGCCATGTAGCTCTTTGCAAGTGTAAAGCATTTGCAGAGTCGTGCAGACATAGTTTTCTGAAAGGGGCGGGATGGCTCAGTGTTTGGAGCGCCAAGTTACTGACCGGAGAGTCCGTGGTTGGAACCCAACCTCTACTTCTCGACTGCCCCTGTCCCGGTGTTGGCGACTTCGCATTAGCCAGCCCTCATTCTCCCTTTGTTCGGTTACTGACCGAGAGTCCGTGGTTGGAACCCAAACTCTACTTCTCGACTGCCCCTGTCCCGGTGTTGGCTACTTCGCATTAACCAGCCCTCATTCTCCCTTTGTTCGGAATGGCAGCTGGGCGCTGATGGACTACCATTTTTATTTCTGTTGGCGCCGATCCTAGCGGAGTTATATTGGTGGCACACTCATTGTTCACAAAGGGACATCCTAATAGCACTTCTATCCAGTGGGAAGAGTCGAAGTTACCCTACAAGTCAATAGGGACAACCGCATCTCAAAGTGGTGTGGCGGGGTGATCTATATACCCGCGGCCTGGATGAATGCCAGCCTGATACACACGGGTCTCTTCTTGATATACGAATAATATGCCTCGAATTAGACCAAAGAGCACTTCGATAGCTACAGCTGCCCAGTTGCTGATTCAATGGTTTTTGCAGTACCATTAAAACTTACTTTGGAGGTTTTCTCTCATCATTCTACGCTGTGCGCATCCACAATATTAGTGCAGTATTGAAGCATCAGTGTGGACTCTGATGTCACCGCCTGTGGTACTGAATGTGAGGATTGAGCGTGAGGACCCCGACCAATATGTATGGCAGAGTTGGTAAGTGTAATTTCTTCGGGCAAGAGGCAAGTCGTTATTGATCCGACTGTAAATATCAATGAGTGTATCCAATTGATGCGTTCAATGAAGAACATGAGAGGTGCTCAGGCGGCACCCCCTGCTCCTCTCTTGTTG